GAATTCACACAGGGGAGAAACCATACAAATGCCTGGAATGTGGGAAAAGCTTCAGTCACAGTTCCAGTCTTACTTCCCATCAAAGAATACACACAGTGGAGAAACCATAGAAATGCCTGAAGTGTGGAAAAAAGCTTCAGTCACAGTTCAGACCATCAAAGATTTCACACAGGCTAGAAAACATAAAAATGCATGGAGTGTGGGAAAAGCTTTAGTCAGAGTTCATACCCACACAGGGGAAAACCATATCACTGCCTGCAGTGTGGGAATAGCTTCAGATAGTTACTTTTTCACTTTGCATCAAAGAATTCACACAGAAGAGAGACCATAGAAATGCCTGGAGTTTGAGGAAAGCTTACATGAGAGTAAAAGACTTTCTTCCTGCCAAATAACTCAAACACTGGAGAAAACATATAAATGCCTAGAGTGCTGGAAAATCTTTAGTCACAGTGGGAGCCTTTCTTTCCATCAAAGAATTCACAAAGGGGGGAAACCTTATAAATGCATGCACCAAGGGGAAAGGTTTAGTCATAGTGCACACCTTATTTCCCACCAAAGTGTTGGGATATGGCAAGATCTAAATTTTCAGTCATTACTGGGTTAACATATTTGTTAAGATTCTACCAGAGACCTGACCTGGAAGTTCAACCTGGCTCACAGTCCATCCTGTATGTTAATTGGTGTGCTTGAGAAACTGATTGGATGGTTTTAATTTACCAGTGTTTGGGTTGGCTAATGAGCTTGAGCTTCTTCCTGTTAAGGTTCTACAAGAAAGGTTACTTCTCAGCAGCCTCACCCCTGGGCTTTTACCTTTTCCCTCTTAGAGACTTCTGGTATGTATCAGCCTACTTTGTTGTATAAATATGTAGTTTAGAACTGTGCTGTTTTATTAAAACTTTCCAGTGTTCCCCTTTTTTCCCCTTTTATAATTAAGATTTTTATTAGATTTTCTCTGCTATATAAGACATTTTAGGAAGGGGAGGACAAGGGCAATGGGATAAGACATATCGGAAAAAGTTTCCATCAGGCTTGTATAATAGCTGTTACAAAACATTTTCCATCCTAAATCCTTGTTTCCAGTCTTTTTTTCATTTATATAGCTTCTAAAGCTGATATCGATTCATCAAATCACTAAAATCTTCTATTATGATTCCTGAAAAAGTACATATCCTTTACAGTTCAGGTTAAGTTTCTCCCAGATTATAGTAATTATAATCCATTCATGGTTTCCCCTTTTCCTAGCTTCTTTTCACCCATTCATAAAACGGTGTTCAGTTTTCTCTCACATTTTGTTTATCTTGATCTTTCAAGGACTCCGTCAATATATCCATTTCCGCTGTTTCAAATTTTTTTGCCAAGAGTTCATCATTCATTGGTATCTCTGATTTCTTCCAATACGTAGCATAAAGAATTCTTGCTGCCGTAGCCGTTTTCCCCTTTCCTAATAGATTTAGATGAAAACCTTTCTTTTGATTAACAACCCTAGTCTCTGTGCCTTATTTACCCAATAAATTTGGTAGCAGAGTATGGTTATTATTTTTGGAATGGCAGTCTAAGAAGCTGCTCGGGTTTTGTTTGGAGAAGAGACACTGGTAGCTGGTACTGTTCTGGAGTGTTTTCCTGACTTCTTCATTTGAAGTTCAAATGTCAATGCAGAGGGCTTTTTTGCAAACACTCCTTTCATTTTAAATTGGGGAGTGCGTTGTGTTTGCCTCTGGCTGTAGCCAAGAACAGAAGGAGCTGATTGCAACAGACTTTCCCCCGGTTACACTGAGAAGCCATAGACACTTTTAAGGGGATAGAGGAGCGAATCAGCCATCTTCACTGATTCAGATAGCACAGAACGTGGAGCGGAGAAGGGGAGAAAATAATTTAACTCTTGTCACACCAGGAAAACATTTTAAAGCAGCACAGAGAGATGTCTACATCTTCAGCTACAACAGAAGAAGAACAATAAGAGAAGAGAGAGATTGGATTTTATACCCCGCCCTCCACTCGGAGTCTCAGAGTGGCTTACAAACGCCTTTCCCTCCCCACAACAGACACCCTGTGAGGTAGGTGGGACTGAGAGAGCTCTGACAGCTCAAGAACAGTTCTGACAGCAATGAAAACTGTATATGATTTTAGAGACAGAAATCCGAAGTAAGGGCAGAAGGACTCTGATAAATGACTCTTTGAAGTAAAGAAGATGCTCAGAAAGTTCTCTCAAAATAACTAATTTACTAATACAGAAAATGTGAAAAACAAGATCTCTACAAGTATATTGTTTTACTAACACTTTTAATACTAATACTCAGTTTAACATGAAGGGGGTCTCCCACTCTTGGGTTTTTAGTTAGTGTGGGTATCTTTCCTTTATCTATAGTTGTAGTTTCTCCTCCTATATTTTTCTTTATAGTTTGTAGTCTTATTGAAAAAATAAAAATACCCCTCCGGGGGGTTCAAAAAAAAAAAAAAAGAAGAACAGCTCTAACAGAACTATGGCTTGCCCAAGGTCATCCAGCAACTGTAAGTGGAGGAGTGGGAGATCAAACCCGGCTCTCCCAGATTAGAGTCCACGCACTTAACCACTGCACCAAGCCAAAAAGCCACTTCAACATCGACAGCCACACCTACTGAGCACTTCCAACAGGGTGTAAGTAACGGTGGCAAATATGCAATTCCAAAGTTAAACCAGAACAGTTTTCAAGTGTGGAATGCTGGACTAAGGGTTTCTATTTAAGTTCAGGACTGTTTAAATGTTACAGACCAAGATATGCCTGAAAGTTCGCCAGAACAGGATGAATTTAAAAGGAAAGAAGCAAGAGCTTTAATGATAATGTATTCTTGTACAGAAGATCATGAGGTTCCATTAGTAACAATGCAAAAGACAGCTAAAGCCTTAGTGGTGGCGAACCTGTGGCACGGGTGCCAGAGGTGGCACTCAGAGCCTTCTCTGTGGGCACGCATGCCATCGCCCCAGCCAGGCCCAGACCATCATTAAAGTGTCGAATTCTCTGCCAAATAATTTTAAGTAAATGAAAGCATTTGGGATTGCTTTCCTTACTTTGTTTGGATCCTCTTAAGTTAATGTACGAGTTGTTTTTTCTAAAGTAAAACCTCAGTATTCAGGTTAAATTGCCGTGTTGGCACTTTGCGATAAATAAGTGGGTTTTGGGTCGCAGATTGGGCACTCGGTCTCTAAAAGGTTCGCTATCACTGCTCT